AAAAAAAAAAAAAAAAAAAAAAATCTTTTCAGATAATCAGCGTTCAACTTGAACATATCATAGATTGCATTTCTTCACGTCATATAATCCATGTCGAGCTACATCCGGTTGGTTTCTTTCTCTGCGCACAAGCAAGCTTGTGTAGGTTGCATGCCCAGAATCCTTCAGTGGGTGTAGTCAAATACCTACACAAACAGTCACAAGCACGATACCATGTGAATCCTAGAGGGGTGTACTAAGAAGCAAGATTAATGGTTTAGCTTAAAGTCAGAGTTTCTGTGTCATGTGGCTCTCTTTTTACCTAAATCACCAACTGGTAACTTATGGTGAACACATAAGCTGGTAGGGAGCAAACTATGGTCAGACTTTGCATTCATTTCATCCTTTTATTTACAGCATTTGTTGAGTCCAATATCGATTCCTTAATGGGCGAGTACATTTACATGTGCAAATTGTTAAGCCGCTTTTACTAACATCACAAATTAAACCGAGCTGGAGAGTTACACTAGTGCAAACTGTGTGTTGTGTTATTTGGTGACTGGGGAAATGTATAAATGTTTTTATATGTATATATTTTTTAAAAATCTGCTTCTAAGCTTCTTTCACACTGCTGGAGTTGCAGCTACCGGAACACACAACACGTCTATCAAGTCATAAAATTTATCTCACTTTATTGTGCTGGGAAGCTAACGTCTCTGTTATCAGGATACGCAACCATTAATGTTTAAATGGATCCAGTTTAAAGTTTCAGGGCTCTAATGAGCAGTCGTCATCTCAGAAATAAACAGCAGCACTGAGAGGGCGCTCAGCGATAAATTAACTTAATTAAAATGTTTACCGCTCTGTGCTTTAAATTCCAAATTAACAGTTTTTTTCTCGCCTTATTTGCAAACGTGTCATATTTTAATTTTGTGTTATTAATGTTTTTCATAGAATTTTATCACCATTTTATTATCATCGTCATCCCCAATTGGAGTGGGTGCACTCATAGGGATCACTTTGTGCGGAAGAAGAGCCACATGACCCGCAAAGCAGCCACTTTTATCTCTGACTGGTATTTGTCGAGCCAGCTAATACAAAGAAAGCCTGGCTGTGTTCAACTCCCTTCATAGTAAACCCACCCAGATGCAGCCGTGCCCACTCCTCCAATCACATTTGGCGCTGCAGTGAGCAAAACTAAATATTGAAGGCAAAAAACAGGAATCTCACAATACAGGCAGGCTTCCAGGCAGGCTTCTAGGAGCAATAGCTTTATCTACTGTATGCAAATAAATAAATCATAAAATTCAGTATATTGCTATGCTTTTTACTGACCATATACAATTATGTTGCGTTCTTTAAATCTTCCTTTAAGTCCCATCATTTCATATACTCATCTGAAAAGCACGTTCATATGAGAGAATATTAATCTTTTAAAAAACAACCTTCTCCTCCTACCTCGGCCCTTTCCTTCCATACACATAAACTGTCTGTGAGTAACTGACCCCTGAGGTCTCTACAAGCAACCGTACAAACCACAGAAGCATGCATGCTTAAACTCTGCTCCATACTGTCGGTCTCTCCGTCATCCTAGCTCTGCAGCCTCTGCCGAGTGGTGTACTTGTTACCGTGCAGGACAGGGATGTTAATGTGTTTGTGTGCTTGTTGGCCTCACTGAGTGTCTTCTTTTCACACAGTGCTGTCTGAACCTGCCCTCTGGCTATCTTACTGGAAAATTGGGGAACATCCTCTAGGGAAGGACAGCAGAGGAGAGGAAAGGAAAGGAGAGGAGAGGAGGAGAGATTAATTAAGATAAAATTTGAAAACGAGTGGGAAAAGAAAGTGGGTGGTGAGTTTGACAACTATATCCTCAGATAACTCGAGGGGAACTATTAAGCGAGTAGATGAGATACATGCTCCAAGGACAAAATGAAGCAAAGAGAGGAAAAAGTCGGGATTAAAAGAGCCTGTTGGAGGGTAAGAAGGTGAGAGAAAGGTTTCTTTGATGTTTCTTGTCCCCTCAGGTGATTCTCCCTCCCATTCATTAGGGGCCGGTTTCTCCGGATCCTTCCAGTTGGCGTGCCATCTGGAAGGCCCTTAAAAAAAACGAAAACAACGAAAAAGCCTACACTCCTCTACTTCACTACAAGTGTCTGTGTTAACATGCACCGTCTAACCCCGCCCCCTGCTTTCCCTCTCTTCAAGTGCTCCATTTCTTCACGGTTAGGTTAGATTGTATCAGATTAAGCATTAATGGTCCCCATGGGGAAAATGGGTCATTGCAGCAGGGAATAAAGAGTGGCAACTCTTCTGATAATAAAGCAGACACTTCTTAAGTTAAAAAAAAAAAATCTAATTACTTCCCACATTCTCCTTCACTGATGTCAGAAATTTCAACCTTTTCCTGCTTTTTATGAATGTGAAATGTACATTAGTGCAAGTGGACCTTTTATAATAGGGGAATTAATGGTACAGACTAACACACTGATATCTGACGCACTTGTTCTCCCCCCCAGCTTTCCTGCCGGCCAGCAGCAGCAGCAAGCCTCTCACCTTATTACAGCTGGGAGAGGCTCCAGCCAGTGCAACACTGGATCTGATAAGCAGTTAAGGAAATGGATGGATGGTTATATACACATATATACAGTGCCCGCTAATTTGCCCTTTCTGAGATGGCAGTAACTCATCCACAGAAGCACAATGAAAACCGCAATCCAATTCATAGAGGGCACAGTAAGCCTCTGCATAATCGCAATGTAATATAATAAATCGTGGTTTGCACAGTGAGACACTCCCTGTGTCACGGGTCTTATCGCTGTTGACGGTGACGGTTGCAAGTGGACAGTTATAAATAGATGACAACAGATTATGGCAAGACTGCAAACAATTGAAGCTGACAGAAAATGAAGAAATCCGGCGCATCAACATTTTTTACATCTGCTCATCTCAACCAGAAACACCTGCAGCGCATTCACCGTTGCTTTTCTTGTGCAATGGGAAAAAACTAAACAATTATGAGGCAAACTCACAACTTCCCTGTTCTCCCTGAAGCAGCACACCGCAGAACAGAAATTACCATCAGACGTTTCTCAACTCTAACCTCGCAGCAAGGCTAAGGTGAAGGCTTGTGGTTTGGCTTTAAGGGGTTACAACAGGTTTCTTTAACTGCTACCAAACCAGCTCCACCATCTGCTGTTGATAATTTATACTGTTAACTGTCAGCCGGCCCTACCAACGCAGGGCGATAAATCAGTGCCATTTATGCGATCTGCATTTAACTCAATAGTTTACTCAAGACTGGAACCATCTGAAAGAATAAAAAGACACATAGCGAGGGTGACTGTAATATCATCAGATCTCATTTGTCACTGTGCTGCAGGGATGTTACATCAGAGCATTTGAAATGTCAATGGCTAATTACCTCGCATGACGCTGTTATCTGAAATGTGAAACACGATGGTGCAGCATGGGAAAGCGAAACTGTAAACATTCACAGACGTGCACTTAACACATAAAAGCTGATGTTATTGTCACATCAGCTTTTAAAAAGTGCACACCATGACAGACCTGTAGCACACACACACAGACACACGGTCTGCCTCCCAAACAAACTCACACGCTGAGTAATCCCTCAAGTTTCACTCTTCAAGTCTGAGGAAAAAACAATCTACTCTGCCAGCATGCAAACCAAATATTTCAGGGTGCTAGGTACTTGTTAGTAAGCGCACTAAGCAGGATTAGAGCCTTTTCTGTGATAAAAACCTCCAGCAGTGTGTACTGGATGTATGCATGTGTGTGTGTGAGAGAGAGTGAGAGAGAGCAGGAGACAGAGAGAGAGAGAATGAGAGAGAGCAGGAGAGAGAGAGAGAGCAGGAGAGAGAGAGAGAGCAGGAGAGAGAGAGAGAGCAGGAGAGAGAGAGTGAGTGAGATTCAGTGGGATACTGTTAGAAAGAAGCCTACACTTTGACTGAGTGCATGTAATTTTATTATCTGGGTCTGCTCAGCTGAAATTATTGTAGGTGATGTTTTGTTCAGATCCTCTATGTGGTTTTGGTCTGGAGTGACCTTAAACATGAGTCACTGATTGGACCCTGTCAGTGAGTAGTGCTGCATTGGTATTAAATATTAGTGTGGGATGGATGAATTAAATGTCAGAAAAGGCGCTGCTGCAAAAACAAACACAAGTTAAATTCAAAATTGTGGACAATTTTTTGCACGTTTCCTTGACTCTTCCTGATATCTGCATAAAGCGCATTGTGGGGGGAAATGACCTGATAAGTTCGGCGTAATTACGCACAAAAAGTTGCTCGCTAAACCCTGTAATTACAGACAATCCAAATATAAACTAACAATTTACACTGATAGAGAATAAGTGAGAATAACTCCGCACATGTTCCCTATTAAAATATTAGGCTTTTGTTATTTTACAGTACGGCTATCGACAGGCTACATCTGTATATCAGCAGTGTCCTCTCATGCGGACAACTTACCTCTTGTCCCAGCAGTCGTCAGTCCGGTCCACTGTGAGCGGTGTCCCGGTGCTGCGGAACCGTCCTGCAGCCCTCCACCGGTCCACAGACGACTCTTCGGTTGTCCAGGAGCGGGTGTGAGCGTTTGTACCGCGGAGCAGCGAGAACAGCACCGGAACACGAGAAGCCTACTGCCTTCACAATAAAATGCACTAATTACGTATCAAGCTTTGCTAAAGCTTTTCATCTAAGCCAGTTACATTAGCTTAAAAAGAGAAATAAAAATAAAAGCACTAAAAATGGAAAATAGTATAGTTACCTGCACTTATTCAAAGCTCCCCAGTTCATATTAGTTATTCGATTTTTGTTCAATTAAACCACAAACTCTTAAAAGCAACAATTTCTGATAATGAAACGTGGTTAAGAGCAGAAGTGATACCAAGTAAATACAGGGCCAGTATTGGCGATGCTGATCGATACTGATACTTTTAACCCATAAAGGAAACTTCTGGGAGAGCAGTGTGTCATAATTTATGAAATGAATCATGATATTATTTTTGCAACTTTTGAACACGTTATAATGACCACTAAATCAATGTAATGTTGTTGTTGTTTTCATTTCCAAGAAAACGACTTATTTAATACAGTCCAGTGGGCTACATACTGAACTTAAGGGTTAAAAACTAGGTACTGATCCGCTAGTAATTAAGAGATGATGTGGCTTGTTGCCATCATGATTGGAAAGTGGAAACCAGCAACAACTTAAAAAACAAAAACAAAAAAAGCTCAGCTCTTAGCAGTGAAGACTGTGTGCCAAACTTCTGCTTTTTAATTGAATGGTGATTAAAAAAAAAAAAAAAAGTATCCCAGCCGACTGGGGAAATTACATTTAACATAGGGTAACTTTCCCCATTCCTTCCCCTCAAGTTGTCTGGTTTGCAGTACAAAATACTAGCGTTCTGTTTGCGAAAAGTCTCATAATGCTCCTCTGGAAGTCGTCCAGTTACTTCTTTGTGCCTTAAGTCATGTAAAAATCAGTTTAACAGTGAAAGGTTGTAGGTTTTTTCAAAGATGAAATTATGAAATATTTATCTAATCTCACTGTACATTAACCCCCACATGCAATGTCTACTTGTTTAACTTTACCCTTACTATTTTTATTCTGTTCATTCAGTGAGAAAGACATTGTTAGTCGCTCTCTGTGTTCTGTGTGTTTGGAAAACCAAAAAGAGTTTGTATTGCTGTATTGTTTGTTTTTCTTATGATATTGCTCAAAACAGGAAAACAATCTGTATATTCCTGGCACTACTGTAGTTTTTTTGTTTTTAAACTCAAGAGCTATGATAATACAAAAAAATGTTTTGTCTACATTTTCATTCATCTTTCCATGTATACCTTTCTGGCCACCCTATTATATAACTCTTCAGAAAGCTTTGTCCCCATCATGAAATTATTAATCTTTCTGACTTACCTTAGGTTTTTAAATCCGACAACTTTACTGATTAATGACTAATCTGAATGACAGCAGGTTAAATCTAGCAACAACCTTGGGGGGGAGGGGGGGGGGGCGACTATATAAAAAAAAAATTTAAACAAGTTTTATTTTGAAGGTTAGGAGCGGAAGTCAGATAGCTAATGTGATCGACTTGACCCCGATGCGCTCCGTGCAGGTCCGCCGGTCCGCCCAGCTCTCCGCCTCCCTCCCTCCAGGTCCTCTCATAAAGACAGCCTTGTTACTCAAGACACCGTTACAGCAGCAGGAAACACTACTGCCTTTCATTTGTAAGGCCAACAAGAAGTCCAAATGTGTAGCCCACATCTTCATCTACAAGTGACCCGAGGGGCTCTCTGAGGACCCAAATCACGTGACAGGCACGGAGCAAAAACTGTTGTCTTTGGAGTAAAAAATGTAGTTGTCTTGTTGAGTACTGATACACAGCGGTGGCAAAGTACTCAGATACACACACAATCTGCATTAATATACAAGTTATTTATTCAATTTTGGATGAGCAAGTAAGTAGAAACTAGAGATATCTAATAAACAGAAGAGTCCAGCGTTTGCCTCTGAACTTGAAGGAATTACACACTAGGATTAGATGTATATCCTTGGCTACTTGCAAAATGCTTTAACGAGTAGCCTACAAAAAAAGTTACTTTCCATTGCCATTAGAGGACCAGAAAATGAGTGGCCTTTACACGCAAAGTACATAAAGATTTTATATGAATGAATAAAATTCATCCGCACTGCCTTATAAATCGACCGAATAGCGGTAAATAGCGTCCCATGCCGGTGGCTCTCTTTTTAATAACTCCTCAACACAATCAATAAATACTCAAACATTACTCAGATCAGGCCTCTCCCACTCGGATGAAAAATCAATTGACCGCGATAAGCAGATAAATGTGAAAACACCTTTTAATAAGACAAAACTGAACCGCCGGTCTTCACGCTACGCTCATAAATGGTGTTGCAGCTACACCACATGGCACACCGTGGAAATGCACCGTCTTCATCCTTTTTCCCAGAGGAATAATGATGCAAACTGCAGTATATTTTAACAATAAATAATCCATCTAACGTGGCAGTTTGAGTTATGTTACCTTGAAGAGTTGCTTCAATAAACTCAGATCTTTTGGTCTGCACAGTCCTCTGAGATTTGACGAAGGTCCTTGAAGAGACGCTCGATGCTCGACTCAATTCATCTCAGAATTGAGCTTCAGGTCTTGTCTGCTTTTTAAAAAGCAGACAAGACCTGGAGAAGATGGCCCGCGCACACGCATCATTATTCACCAGGTCTGTTGGATGCTTCGTGCACAAAGTGATAACAGCTGTGTCAGCGCACACGAGGGAAACAGGTAATTAGGACCATGCGTGTAGATGTGCCAGCACGATGGAAACACATCCTGTGGGCTTTCCACAGTTTAATGAGGCAAAAGGGAATCGCTCTGTTTGTTCATCAAACAGCTCTTCAGCACTACAACACAAAATCAAACCTTGAAAAAAAAATAGTAATAATAATCATAATTAAAACAGAACAGTTTTCTTCCATTAAATTTTTAATAATAGCCCATCTTAACAACTCATTAAAAACAGAATATAAAAATATACAGGCAGCTTGAGATAGAACTACATTTATGTACAAAGGTAAGTAATATAGAAACAAAATATATATTTAACAGAGGCAAAGTCTGGCTAAATGTTTGAAGAGCGCATTAACTGTATACATGTACTTTAACGGCAGCAGCTGGCTTGAATTAGTCACATGAAATGGTCAATTTCTCTATTGGACGAGCCTGAGGGTTTATTGTTAATGCATAGGATGATAGAAGATCTGCAATTTGAGAAGTTTCTTTCCCACTACTTCACAATTTTTCTTTACCATAGATAAAGAGGTGTTTCATCAGCTACCATTTCTTACCATTTCAGGTATTGGGAGTAAAAATAAGAGTGCTGCCCTCGTCGTGTTTTGGTTGTGCAGTCAAGCCTTTACATTACAGGCAGATTTCACATCCAGTGGCAAAAAGAACTGGATGAACCCAGTCTAATCACTGACGGTGTCATTATTCCAACTATATGACCACTACATTGTGCAATCAAGACTGACTCCTTATGCCCAAGTAATAACTGCAAAACCATCATTAGACTAGCTCTTATGAATTAGTGGAATCTAAATACGATTATTCTTTCTCATAATGTTTCATTGAAATTGCATTTTTAACTACTGGTGTTCGACCTCTGACGGGAAAATGGGCAGAAGATGAATTAAAAATAAGCAGATCTTCATCTAACAGAAACATAAGCTGTCCGGTGATCCGGCGACTTCTCAGACGGCTACACTGAAATGGAAAGCGGGAAGATTTTATTAGTTTCGTTAGGCCCTCTATTTTCCTCATCCTTGTTTCCTAACCCTTGAAGTTCTGAAAGATCTCAGCAGCGTCCAACCAGGACCTGAAGCAGGCCAGGCCCCGGTCTCGGATCTGTTTCCTGCCCTTGTCCGTGATCACGTCGCCGTTCTCCTTCACGATCACCAGTTTGGGCACTGCTGTGATCTTGTAGCGATGCTTCAACTCACTGCGAGAGGACAAAAAGACAAAGAAATGCCTTTATTAGAAAAAGACACTTCTTCCACTGTAAAGAATCTATTATACACTTGATAGTTTTCCATGAATACATGTGAGATTCTTGCACATAACAACGCAGTTTGATGGCAACTGCGGCTACAGATATCTCACAAATTCAAATTTTACAAATAAAACATGATTACTGGCTGCAATTAATCAACACACCTAAACACAATATAAGAAAAACAGCTTCACTGTGCTTAGATACAGCATTCAAATGCTGCTAACTTAAGGGCACATGGATGTTTTTATGTTTGATGTTTTTATTTCAATACTCATCTGCTTTGCTGAATATATTTAAAATCACACTACTGGTATGGTTAAACAGAACATTCAAAGAGTCCAGTTTTAACTTTGGGAAGAAAAAGAAATGAACAGAATAGCTGCAACTCCATCCAAGATTAGAAACTGAACAACTTGATACTCGACTTTAAAGTAGCTATGTAATAAATAACTAACTGCTTTTATTTAAGAAAAAATGTTTGAGAGAAAAGTTTGCACTCACAGGTGTACAGATCTGACTTTCATTTAGTCACGCAACCCTCCAATAACTCAAATCACGTGATCTGGAAATCAAAATAAACAAATAAAGGACACTTTGAAGAGAACAGTCTGGACTTGCTGTCGCTTAAACCTAATCCTCGACAGTGACGCGCATCAGCGTTTTACATAAGCTGGATCACTGCCTAGTAGACTGTACAGACTGCACTGTGTAGGTATAAGATAAATGAAACACCTGATTGTGTTACGTTGAGTTCAAATGTGAAATATTAGATCATGAAACTCACTTTTTGTAATCATCCGTCCAAGGCAGAGCGAGCCAGTCTCCGTGCATGTCGTGGTAATATTCAACCATGTCATCGGTTGACTTGTCAGAAGACACGAAAACTATTTCAAACTGAGCCGGAGGATCCCTCTCCTCCACCAGCTCCGTGTAGAAGTCACACAGGATTGGGGTAAAGTCCCGACACGGCGGGCACCATCCCGCGGAGAAGTAGATCCCCACCACCTTGTTCCGCAGAGCCTCTTCGGGATCCACAAACTCTCCGTCCTTGTTCAGGAGTGTGCGTCCGGAAAATACCTCCACCATGTCTGTTGAAGTCCGGCTGCTTTGAGTTTTGTTGAGAGTTTCGTTTAGCTCATACTTGTTGCCGAGTTTTGAACACAACGCTCAGAAGTGTGGACTCTCCGGGGAAGGTTCCGTTTACCTTTCCGCAAAAGTAGCTTACAGCCAATCCCGATAATCACCTGCGGACCAATGAGGACGCAGAAACCGCCGTAATTCATTAGCCACGTGGGTAACACACACGCGCGAGCGCACGTACACTGCATTCAGAAGCAGTCAGCTAGCATAGTTGTCGTAACTACTCCATAGCAATAGGTAAAGCACGACGTCTCGTGACGCTTTCCGGTATCGGTGTACGCATGCGCAAAGCCATAAACTAGACAACATTAAAGAAGTTTCAAAATCACATGTGCGTATGTGTGTTGAGGTTAATTATGATCAAATAGGGTATAATTACTTATCAGTAAATTATTATAAACTTGTTTGATTATTAATTATTAGTTTATACTTCATCTCACTCCTCAGTGTCTTCAGTGTAGTTTTGAAAGCTATTCAGTAATTTTACTTTTATTTACATGTTCGAAACAAAAGACGAAAATAGAGTATATTTTAGTCTCAGTACTAATGCATACAGGCAACGCTGACAGAAAAGGATAAATCATTTTCACAGTAATAATAATTTATTAAAAGAGCTTCTGTATCAACAAACAACAGAAGGGAGAGAAATTTGAAACATAACAGAGGAAAACAACGAAACAAAAATGAAAGAATTTATTAATAATGTCACTAATTACATCATCTGTTATAACAGTATAACAGTACTGGATAACATTTTATGTAAACCTTTATGTACATAAAACTACTTAATACTAAGCCTCATTGGGGAAAATCATCAAAGATACTTAATGGTAGATTCCAGATGTATTTGTGCTATATTTGAGAAAAGCTATATTTTATAAAACCCATATTATTACTTCTGGGGGGGGGGGTCAGTTGTATTTCTAAGGAAACACACTATTAAAATGACCACAGTCTTTTTTGAATATACTAGTACTTTTAATCTGGGTGAATGGAGCTTGAATTCCCTTTTAAAATACAGCTCTAAAACACTTTTCTATGAAGTCTCTAGTAGTACACAGGGAGGTCAGTGTGTTTGTATCACTCCTTATTTCTTCAGCTGAGTGCACTGAGGTCATTTGGAAAGAAACCCGGCCACTCTGTTCCTGTCCAGCATTTGCTGCCCATTAGTAAAGGCAACTGCTGAGAGCAAAAGACTAAAGAGACATCTTTTTCCCCCTTTTTCCTTCCCAAGGACTTTTTCTCTCCCAAAACAATTACAAACAACATGACCTCCAATTCCAATTTATCCAACATGCGACGGCTGGTAGAACAACTGAAGCTTGAGGCCAGTGTGGAAAGAATCAAGGTAAAGCTGGCATCTTTACAGAACACGACTGCTTGCTTTCTACAAACTAGCTTTTGTTGATTGATGTAACTATTTTGTTTAATATGTACATTATGAATGTTGGGAAAGTGCAACTTGATTAATTTTAGAATAAGATTTAGAATAAGATTGTTTAATCTATTTTATTTAAAACACTTAGTGTACGGTATTACACTATAGAAAAGTCACTCTGTATAGTTTAATGAATACATACATGCTTTAGATTAATATAACACACACCATTAATTAATCATTAAGTCAAAAAATAATTTTTAATGCAAAAACTCCAAAAAGTTCAAGATTTCTGCTTATAAATATAAGCTGGATAAGCTTTTTTACTACTAAGTTCCAATTTATTGTGAATAATTTTAAGATTTGGGTTATTTACTAAGTATTACTTTTAAAAAATAAACTGGGTAATCAGTATATTCAATATAAAATAGTTAGTGCCACCTCAACTACAACCCTAATAATCTATAAATGTATTTAACTAATTTTGTATTATGTATTTTATTACTATCACGGTATTCTGTATTATAAGCATTATATTATCTTATGAATGTTTTCGTTTTTTTAAATGAAGGAATTTATTAATTTGTCAAATCTGCTCTTGTAAATGCTAATAAACTCTGGGTGTCAGTTACACATATAAGTTTTTGGTTTTGCACAACCTAGAAAACAAAAAGCCTGCACTTGATTTGTGTGTGTGCGGATTTTTTTTTTTAAATCCTTTTAAAGTATATGTGAGTTACAAAGTTGTACCATCTGAGTGTATTTTTCTGTTTCTGCTTCCAGGTGTCCCAGGCAGCTGCAGAGCTCCAGCAGTATTGTCTGCAGAATGCAGGAAAAGACGCCTTGCTGGTTGGAGTCCCCACAGGCAGCAACCCTTTCAGAGAACCACGCTCTTGTGCCATAGTGTGAAGGTCAGGGTCCATAAAATGTGCAGCTTTGTTTCTTTGTAACGCCTGTTATTACGTCTGGATTTCAAATGTGGAATAAAACGTTTTGCACCTTTTGCAGTGGAAGACAAAGCGGATACAAGTGGCATCCCACTCAAAGAAGATATTAATTTTGCTTTGTTTTTTTAATAGTGTAATAGATTTTGATTTCATGTTTTTCTAAAAAAAGTTTTGTAAATCATCAATTTTTTGGTGAAACACATTAAAGCACATCCCGTGAACATACAGTCTTTTCAGTTTTTTCTTTTAAATTGCTTTTACAAAGTGCTGTGAAAACGCCATTTCTGCACCAAACAGTCTTACAGTGATTATCTGTAAAGTTTTCAAAGCGGATGTTTGTTGCTGAGCTCTAAATTATGCCTTGGAATCTCATGGCGTCTGCGCTTCCTGATGTTCAGTCTAAGTCAGGAACACAGCCAGAGAGAGGAAACTGGGTCTTCCTGTTCAAAACTGCAAAGACAAAATGCCACTTTCATTTATCCTTTGAGCCTTTTAAAACTTTTTGGATGTTCCAGCTGAAGAGAATGCTTAGATAAAATAAAATAAATGCACTCTGTGCAGAAGGTGCTTTACAAACTATATAAAAACCATGTTGTTCATTGTATTTGTGCGCGACAGTTTACATAAGTTGTTGTCTGTTTAGTCAGTTCATTTGTATATTTTATTTTAAAACAGAACTTCTATTTTTTTATATGTCTACATTGTTCAAGAAACTGTTTAATCTCCCTAAAACAAGTCTAGCCAGTCATGAGACAGCTCTGCCTTATCATTTCCTTTTCCTGTCGCTGCATGGGCGAGTCTCAATAGCTCTCCTGTCATGATGCCTCCTTTGTTAGCAACCTTTGCTCTGCAAACAAGGCTTTAGTGGTATCTGCAGATGCTTTAAATAAACTCCTAGTTCTCATTTCTCGTGTATCTTTGCAGTTTATTTAGGCAGAAGTCTGGATTTCAGAGTGTCAGAGAAGAGGGATTTAAGACAGTATTGTCATATGTAAGCATGTATTTACAGTCAGTGTGTAGATATATGTTTATATTAAAAAAATAAAATAAAAATAAAATGGGTGTTAAGCTCTGAGCTTTAGAAGTGCTGGTAATTGTTTTATGGGCAAGAATTTCAGTCTCTAGATGTGCAAAGCTGGTAGAGACATACCCTAAAAGACTGGCAGCTGTAATTGCAGCAAAAGGTGGTTCTACAAAGTATTGACTCAGGGGGCTGAATAATTACCCCACTTTTCAGTTATTTATTTGTAAAAAATGTTTGGAATCATGTATGATTTTCGTTCCACTTCTCACGTGTACACCACTTTGTATTGGTCTTTCACGTGGAATTCCAATAAAATTGATTCATGTTTGTGGCTGTAATGTGACAAAATGTGGAAAAGTTCAAGGGGGGGAAAATACTTTTGCAAGCCACTGTAGCTACTGACTGCAAGTTCATGTCTCCAGCTTAAACATCCAGTTTAAACTGATTTAAAGGTGGCAAGGTGGTGAAGTGCTATGCCTTCACAGGATGAAGGCTCCTAGTTTGAATCTTAGCTGGAGCTTTTCTGTATGGAGTTAGCATCCTCTCCTTGTGCCTGCATGGATACACTACTCCGCCTTCCTCTCATGTCCAAAGACATGCCTGTTAGGTTAATTGGTGATTCTAACCTGTATGTGATAAAAGGAGTTAAAGTATGGCATGAGCATCATGATAACTTTGAGATTTTAATGATTTCTTTGAACTATTCTTTTTTTTTTCCCAATGTGGAATGATTGTGCAGCATTACACATCTTTAATGACTTTAACAAAAACAAGAAATGGGTGCACAAGTTTGAATTGATTTCGGATTTTCTTTCATCCATACAGGGTCATAGTTATGCATATAGACTCAAACATATACAGTGAGCAACATAAGTATTTGAACACCCTGCGATCATGAAGTCATGGAGGGGTCTGAAATTCACACTGTAGGTGCATTCCCACTGTGTCACACAGCATTTAAACAACAATTCAAGAAATCACATTGTATAATTTTTATGACATTATTTGTATAGCACTGCTGCACATAAGTATTTGAACACCTGGCAATCAGCAAGAATTCTGGCTCTCAAAGACCTGTTGCTATGTCTTTAAAAACTCCACCTTTACTCCACTTATTAATGTGTGGAAAAGTGTGAAATTACACCATCTTTTGGTCAGGTTTAGAGTTTACAAAAGAAGAATGGAAGGCAGAGCCTTCAGCTTCTGGGCCTCTCTCCTGTGAACAGCTGTGCTTTGAGACACCCTTTCCACTTTTTAAAATTAGAAATAAAACTTTCCCTTTTCATAAAGCTGACAGTTAGGCTTGGATCATGTGACCTTAAAGCTATGCTATTCAATAAGCCCAGGGACTTCCCATGACGCACTGAGTGGTTCTCCACCACTCCTATTTTCTTTTTAAACTCTTTACTCTATTTTTTCTTCTAAAGTTTTCACCTAAAAGTAGTAAAATGAATAAATGAAATGATGTAACTGAAGTTTAAAGTGCAAGTAAAAGAAGGTTGCTACAACCATTTAAACTTCCACATTAAACTTTATTTCACTTTCCTTAAACTCTCCAGGAATCAGTGCAGACCTGCAAGGAATCCAGCTGTTCCAGCCATCTATTTTATCAGATTTTATCTCCTACCCATCCACCTACATTTATCTGCTTTCTGTTCCAGGGAATGAGGGAAGGACAGTGGAATGGAAAATTAAAAATAGAATCTAAAGTCCTTTTCAGCTAAACCGGTGCCACGTATTGTCAATGAATGCTCCACCTGTCATTTCATTCTTAAGAAAGCAAACCTCAGGTATAAAGGCAAACTTGTTCTCTAAAGAGAAAATAAACAGAATAGCTTGAATGGAGTTGTCTTCTCCTTTAAAGCTTTAAAGGTATGGGCGGGGATTGGAGTTCGGTTTCAGTGCCGCCTCCTTTTTCTGTTCTCACACCCAGCAGCTCAGGCCAGTCACAGAAGAGTCAGCGAGCTTTGGACTGGACGTGCTTTGGTTATAGAAATTATGAAATTAGCCACCATCAATGAAGAACCACAATACGACACGCCACTGGGGAACTTCCACAGCCTTTCCACACCTTTTTCAAAGGTCGCTGACCCCTGAAAAAGGACTGAACCAGTTTGACTTTTGTTTGTTAATGACACTGAACTTTAATATACTGGATGAAAACTTTTATCAAGTGAGGAGATGGCCAAAGTGTACAGACTCTATGTAGGAATAGTAATCGGTAAGATCTTTTCTCTTGTTCACCTTTCTTTCTCATTGTCCATAAGCAGAAGGCTAAAAACCCAAAAGGATAATATTAAAATGATATGTAAATAGTTCTTGTTTTAAATGCATGTCCTGTACTGTTCCAGTTTTCTTCTCATATCTAGTTTTTAAAGTGTCATTTGAATAGCTCTATGTTGTTTTGACTGGTATTAAAACCATGTGTTATCAAAATAATGGAGCCAAAACAAGTTTACGGGCAATGCCCTGCTAAGCAATTTGTGGAATAATTGTACTTGTACAACAAGCTTCACTTGTGGTTAATGATTAAATGAAGAGCTCATGCACAAGGAATGTGCATCTTCTGTGATCATTAATCATCATCAAATCAGGCTTCCCTTAATATAAGTTTTGGAAACTGTTTGTGACGTTGTCCTTTCTATAGGTTTATATATTAAAAAAAACAATTATTTGCCAATACAGTCACCAGGAAAAGTAATAGAGGATGTTTATAGAGTAGTAAAAGTCCTGTCATCTCTTATCCAGATCCTGTAAGTACAATGCGGCTAAACACTGGTTAAAATGTGCAGGTGTATGTACGTTGGTTGTGTGTGATTGGCTTTTTGTTTGTGCTCCTGGCTGCAGCTCTGACCTTATGCAAATACTGCCTGGCAGAGTGGAATGCCACAGACGTGCCTCCCACCGGAACTGTGTCCGACTGTCATCTCCATGGCAACAGAGACAATTGCACAGGTAGATATGGAAAGGTGGTGTAGGGGGCGTTTCTGTGACGGTAACTGCTTCTTTGGTTTGACTTTTTCAGTAGTAGAAGTAGTAAGACAGATGTTGGTATGAGACACACATAAGTATATTGTTGAGGAGTCACAATATACAATACACAATATAAAATGTATCAACCCTTAGTACAGAGGTATTGTCAACAACCTCTGCTGGGTAATTTCTGTAATTAAACAAATTTTAACTGTAATCTCATCATTGTTAGATGGATTTTGGGGGAAATAAACCACTAGATAAGACCCATAACATGGGTGTTGTATTTTATATGGGATTAAGTACAATAGCACAAATTCAAACCACCAATATTTTCTTATCTTGTACTACTAACTACTGTAACTACTCAACAACAAAGGTAGTCTCCTACTGTTCCTGGTGTAGTGACAACTTTATGTTAAATAATATACTGCATAGTACTGCATGGGAAAAAAGCATTTTTGGTACCTAAAATATATACATATATATATATGTATATATATATGT